CCCCAGGGTGTGCCAGGAGTGTTCAGGAACTGGAATGACAGGGCCAGGAGTGTTCAGGAACTGGAATGACAGGGCCAGGAGTGTTCAGGAACTGGAATGACAGCCCCAGGGTTCAGAATGTTTTTTCCCCTGTTTTCCTCCTTTAAAAACTAGGTGCGTCTTATGGTCAGGTGCGTCTTATGGTCCGAAAAATACGGTAATACAGACTTCAACCATATACAGACAACCGATTGAATATGACTAAAGAATTGCTATGCAAGGAAGCCTATTTTATTTTTAAATTTCAAACGATGTCACCTTAAGGATTAAATTTAGCTCTTGATTTATCTTCATTTATTTAGCTATCTGTACAATTTTATAATTGGTAGCTACCTGAAAAGAATAAGATTTGGAAATGACACTGGGCTGTAACAGGTGTGAGTAATCAAGTAGGATAATAGAGCAGGTGCAGAGACAGTGAGTAATGAGAGCCAGCAGATGCCAAGAAAATACAAGATTAATTCTGAGTAGGAGACGTAGAGCATGGGGTAAGAATGTAAAAACTTTGATTGCTTATACTACACGGAGCCCATGCTCTACGTCTCCTACTCAGAATTAATCTTGTATTTTCTTGGCATCTGCTGGCTCTCTAAAGTGACCTGACGAAGCATTGAGGGAAACAGATTGTGTACCTGGGAAATCTGTAGTCGCATGACAATTGTTGGAAGCAGCAGCAGCACTGCATGACGTAAAATAGAGAAACAAAAGAAGAAGAAGCAAATTTGTGGACTGTAATTGGACTTGAATCAATTTTTCACAGTGAACATTGGTGGAGTGCAACCTTGGTCGAGTCACTGTGGTCCATTTGTGGCTCGAACTTACATAGATGCATCTATGAGCTACTTGGGGAAGAACAGGATAAAAGTGTAATAGATAATGGAGCATCCACCCAGTTTCCCTCCCTCTGACTTCCTTGCTCATTAAGTTAAGTTAAGTTAAAAAATGGGTGGGAGGTAGGGTTGACAGGTCTTTCAAAGTCCCCAGTGGGGGACTTGGGGGTGGTGGTACTGGAGGGGGTGGGGAGTCCCCAACATGATGACGTCACACAGTAGTGACGTCATCACATTGGGGAGCGGAGGCTCCCGCCTCTCCCCAGCAGCGTCTAAAGGTTCTTTTAAATTCCTG